TAACCCGTGACGTGTTTGAAAGATGTCCTATGTTGCCATATTAAACATGAAATAGATTGAGGAAAATTATTGATGACAGAGAATTGCAGGATGTTCCATTGTTAAAAGTTCAACTTGAATGGTGAAGAGTTGTATTGTGGAAGAAAGACATATCAATGTGCAAAGTTGGTTAAAGAGGTAAGGTTTGGTAATAATTGGGATTCTCCAGCTAGAATAATTGTACGACTTTGATCTGAAAATTGCACAGTAAGATCTTGATAGTTATGGAGAACAGATCCTAAAGATTGCAGCCACTGCATTCCTAGCACAATATTAGCTCCTTGAATGGCCAAAACAAATAAATCTAAGAGAACATGATATCCTTGCATAGAAATGGTGACTTGTGAACATTTCGAATTGTATGTTAGAAGATTCCGTTTATTACTAAAACATTAAATGCTTTGATAGGTTGTGTTTGTAGACCGATATGTTGAAGAGATTGTATTGCATAAAATTATTTGTACTACCACTATTGATTAAGACATGAACATTATGATGTTAATTGAACTACTTAAGCAAAAGTAACGAGGATTAAATTGTCCTGCTAAGGCATTTAGGCTAATTTCAAGAGATAAATCAGATGCAATAAGATTTGATGTATCTATGGGTAGATCCTCCGAAGAGTCGTATTTATCTGTGCCTATTAAAAGAGAATTTATTGGGGAAATGATGTTGTGGGTCAAATTTAGCATCACAATTAAAGCAAATCCCTTTTTCCCTACGAAACTATATTTTGGCTAGAGAAAGTTTTCGAATAGATAAAGAATGTGGTTTAGCGGACATAGTTGTTGGAGAAGGATATGTGGGAAATGGTTCATGGGAGGTGGGTTAGAGATGAGGTTAGGTGTTTTGGTGTAAGGTGAAGTGGAGTTTGATTTTTGCTAATGTGATGAAGGAAAGGAAAATAATTCTTGAATTTTGGATTCATGTCGGAGAGCTAATTCCATGGCATCTAAGAAGTCTAAGGTTTGGCAAGTAAAAGTTTGCTGCCTAATTTTTATTTAAGACCAAAAATAAAATAAGATAGTAGTAGTAAGGATTTAGTTCAAGTGAAGTGTATTAAGGATGAATATCAAAAAGTGCTTTTATTAGAAGAGGATATTCAACAAAGGTGGATGAGATATTTTACTAAAATTTTGAATGAAGATTATGAAAATGTGATTGGATTTAGTGATTTTAGAACCCTAGATGAAAATAAAGATTTTGTTTTAATCAGCGTATTAGTAAAATCAAAGTTAAAGAGGTTTTAAAAAAATGAAGTGTGGAAAAGCTGTTGGACCTGATGATATTCCAGTAAAGGTGTGGAAATGCTTAGGAAATGAAGGAATTTCTAGGCTTACTAAACTTTTTAATATTATTTTAAAGACTAAAAAGATGCTAGATGAGTGAATAAATGAGTGTGTTAATTCCCATTTTTAAGAATAAATATGATGCACAAGATTGTGCAAATTATAGAGGAATTCTAGTTAATGTGCCATACTTTAAACCTATGAGGGAGAGTTATGGAGCATAGGTTGCGGCGAGACACTATTGTTTCTTAAAATCAATTTGGATTTATGCCAGGTAGGTCTACTATGGAAACTATACATTTATTCAGAGGTTTGATGGAGAAGTATAGAGAAAATAAAGAGGATCTCCATATGATTTTTATTGATTTAGAGAAAGCATATGATAAAGTTCCAAGAGAAGTGCTATGGAGAGTTTTACATAAGAAAATGGGTTAATAATGCTTATATTTAAGTCATTAAGGATATGTATGGAGGAGCTATTACTTGTGTTCAAACATGTTGACCCTTTCAAGTAGCAAGCAAAGTAGAAAAAAAAAGGGAGAAAAAAATCATCAAATCTCACCTGCTCTGGCGTCGCACGATTTTGCGCCGCTCGCACGCCGACGTCGCTTCTTCGCACGTTGTCTACACGATCTCCCTCGGCGTTAAAAGAGATTGAAGCCCCTGCTCTTCGGTTCGACGACCACGACCTCTCCTCGCGCTCGATTGCTCTCCCCTGCTTCCTCACTCTCAATCTCCGCTCCCGCTCTCTCTTCCTCTCCCTCTCTCATTGATCGACTTCGTTCACTCGACGACTTCCCATCCTGTTGGAACAGAAGTTACGCATTTTGATCGGAAGAAGGAAGTTGCGCTTATAGAAATTAGAACTCAGATCTTAAAGTCTTCTTTAAGAGAGCGAAATCTTTGATAGTGTCTTATCTCTATCTAATCAGCCTTCCGAATGTTTCTTTTGGAATTTAATCTATTAAAACTCTCCACGAATATAACGAGGAGAAGCTAGGGCATCAAAAGCTAAAATTTTTGGAGCCCACAAATAGTCAAGAGCAGAAGGAGTTTATGTTAACTTAGATAGATTGCCATGCAAATCTTTGTAAGATGAAGTGCCAAAACGTTGTTGTAATAAGATCATGACTTCAGGCTAAGAAGGATTTTGGCCTTTCATTCAAATCTATTGATACCCAATAATGGGGACGCTTTCAAGATGAAAACAAGCAATACAAAGACGATGCCAATCTGGTGTAGTATGAAAATCGAAATATTCCTGAGCTTTAAAGATCTATTTTTCAACATTCGATCCATTAAAACGAGGTAGTTCGATTTTCATATTAAGGAAAGAAAAACCTGATGGAACTAAATGATGTTGTTTTAAAGGAGAATGAATGGTGGAGCCATTGATTCCGGCGGATGGTGGAGGATCCGCAGGATCGGGGGATGTTTGTTCCTTTCAAAGATTGTCGAGGCGCTTGTCCACCGAGTCCATGAAGACATGAAAATGCTTTAGTTGTGAGGGCAGTGAATTGAGCATCGGTCTGCTGAAGTGACTTGTGAATTTCTGGAAAATTGTGATTCTTGATGATTTTGCATTGTGCGCAAAGTGTCCGTAAGATCTGTATTCTTCTTTTCCCCAACTGGCTGACTTCTTTTATCCAAGAAAGAGATATGGATTGTTGAATAAAGTTGTTTCTGTTGATAGAAAGAAAAAAAGAAAAAGAAAAAATATTAGTAGGAGATTTAAAAGAATGAAAACTGTAAGGAGTTAGGGGAGTGAAAGAAACTGATGTAGGTGTTAATGTATAGTTTTGTGATGAAAGACGGTTGGGATGCTGATTTCCAAGGCTGTTGTTGTTACAAGAAAACAGTTCTTGGTGATGTGTTGAATGCTGAAAAGCTGAAAAAAAATCAGGCAAAGAGGCTGCGGCTGATCCTGGTGGAGGAAGGAGTGCTGGGGAAATGTTCCTGCAGCTGGAATTTGCATTGGAGAGCTACTGGCTGAAGATGGCGTAGGAGAGCTGTTTCAGGAATTTGCATAGACTGAAGCTGGCGGCTGGAGGAGACGGAGGAGGACAATGCAACGCAAGAATGATGTGGAGGCGTGGAGTTAGTGCAACGAATGTGCCATTTGATATACTTCTTGAAGTATCAAGAATGGAAGACACCTTTTAATTAGGTGCAAACTGCAAGAGCAAGAGAGAAAGAAGAGAAAACATAAAATTTATTTTTTCCTGCTGAATACAGACTTTACATGATATTTATAGAGTTTTTCTAACACAACCAGCAAGCTCTTTTATTAGACCGGTTAGTTTACACAGTAAATACAAATAATATCTAGAAGTCCTTATTTATTAATACATTTATTGCTTGTAAGCTGAACCGGTTTGTAGGCTGAACCAGATGTCTTTCTCATGAACCGTGGCTGCTGTTTGGATCAGCTGGGCGGAGGGAACTTTGGCAGCTGAACCGTGGGCAGCTGTTTGGATCAGCTGGGCGGAGGGAGCTAGGGAGGCTGAACCGTGGGTTGCTGTGTCTGTGTTCTTTTTAATTTTTCGATGATAAACTTGCATTTGTATATTGCTGTCATTTGCTTGCTCTTCCACTTATCTGACCCAATCATTGCATTGTTCCTGTACTGTTTTCTTATTCAGTTGAATGTGTTGTTTCTTAACGCACTATAAGGCTTCTGTTTTCCACTGTCCTGGATGCTTGCAGGTGATGATAGTCCTTCACAAATGTAGATAGAGTTCCATTTCTTGTTGAGCGTTCTTTTACTGGTTCAACTTAACTTCTGTTGCCTTCATAACTTCAGCTTTGGCCATATTCTTGAGCCATTCCACTTATTACTTCAGAATTTTTTTCGCTTGATCTAGTGACGTATATGCAACGTCATAACATTCTACATACTCAACACCTACTCTATGACCTTGTTATCTCCAACTTGCAAATGTATTGGCTTAAATAACTTGGGATCACTTATGCCATGGAAATGTGGACATGTAGGAGCTTCTTTTAGTCGACAATATTTGCTTCTTGCTTAATAATTCCGGAATATTCTCCCAGGAAATACTTGTAATCATGTTACCTTAAAATTGGAATATATTTATTCTAAATTTTCCATCAAGGGTATTCACATGTATAATTTAATAGTTACATTTCTATATAATGGTTTTGGTAATTGCCTTAACAGTCCATGATTTTATTAACTTTGTTCATTTATACTTGATCTTGTTCAAATATTTCTAGATTGTATTTGTTGTTATTAGTGTTTTATTTATTCCGTTCCATCTTGCTTTCATCTTGAATCTTTGTAGTTCTACTTGAGAATTCCTTGACACTAGAAGGGTATGAAGCAGTATCTCCTTGTAAATTTAAGTGCACAGTTAAAGTTACCCTAGATTTTGTTTCTCTCTAATCTTTGAGGAATTCTCAATTGCAAACTTCATGCTTCTCTTAGAACTTTCGTACTTCATGTTGTTCGCTTTATGAAGAAATAGTTTTATGTTAAACATCCTCAATATCTTCCACTTTTTTTCTCCAAGAACGACGAATCATATTCCGGATGAAGCTCATAATATTTTTTCCACATGCCTTTTCTAGCCAAGCTATCCCCGCACAACATGCATTAGAAGAGGTTGGGTGATTCGTCAATTTATTAAGTTGGTGATTTTCACAGGATTCATGGGATTCATCATTGAGCAGGTAAGTAATCTAAATCATGTTCTTAAGGGATGAACAGTAGACATTATTTTAGTAACGAATACTTCTGTTAAATTTGCAGTACATCAATCCAATTGTGAAGAATTCTAAACACCCACTGAAAGGGAATTTTCTTAATGCTATTGAGAGAGTCTTAAAGCTTTCAGTTCCTACTTTATACGTGTGGCTTTGCATGTTCTACTGCTTTTTCCATCTATGGTATGTTGCTCAATCCTATTTAGTCTTTGTTTCGAGTTTACATGCAGCCCAATTTTATAATCCTATTAGCAACATTTGCATCATTTGCTGTAGAAAGAATATGGTTTAAATTCTTTTTCGAACTTAAAAGTTCTGAAAGCATCATAGCACTAGCTCAAACTTATCTCTTTTTTTATGCAATATAGGTTAAACATTCTTGCAGAGCTCCTTCGGTTTGGTGATCGGGAGTTCTATAAAGATTGGTGGAATGCAAAGACTATTGAAGAGGTTGGTTGATTTGCAAGTATGCACTTCATTTCAGATTAATTTCTTGGTTATTATTGCCAATGAGAAATAATGAATAAAATGAAAAAGAAAGCTTCTGTTCTAATTCTGTTTTTCTTTCACTTTTCCTATGCATTTACTTCGTTGGAACTGCAACAGTACTGGAGAATGTGGAACATGGTAATTCACATATCTCACTTCCAGAATTTTCAATTCTTAGATTTTTTATTGAATCCATTTTGTACTATTATTGGCAAAAGTTTCCATTCTCTACAATTACTATTTCATTATTTTTTTTTTGTGCAGAATATGAAGATCCTTACGTTTTAAAAGTCATAGGAAAATCGTCCTTCACTATAGTCGTCCGTTGTCAAATAACGTAGTTCTAGTTAGATTTTCGACAACCTGTTTAGCTTGAAAGTAATATCTTTAATATCTTCTTCAACTCAATTGAATTATCATTGAAGTTTGCTATAAAGAGAGAAAATTAGAAAGGAAGATCTTTACTCAATTTTCTTCATATTACAAGCATATATATGACTATAAATAATTATAAGAGAATAATAAATGAAGATACAATTGTGAAATACTAGTATGATTTTGGCCAATTGTGACCAACAGTCACTTAGACTTCCACATTGTTTACTTTCTCTTCCATTACCACCTTATTGATCTACAAGATTTTTACTATCTACCCATCAATATGTGTGGACTATTTTAATTATTTTGTAGCTAATTCTATTCTTTGATTTCATATGTTTTCTTATTAGATGTTATTCTAGGATTTTATAAATTTTGTATACTTTGAAATGATAGATATTCATATGTAGATCCTCCTTATTCTCTCTATACTTCTCCATCAAACCTCTCAATAAATGAATGGCTTCCATAGTAGACCTACCCGTCATGAATCAAAATTGATTTTGAGAAACATTAGTATCACGCCGCAACCTACGCTCCTATGTTGCACGAATACGCCTATTTATGAGGCATGCTATATCAGACACGTGTCGGATACGGATACGCCTCCGATACAGCACGGATACGGCTTTGCCGTGTCCAATTAAAATATTATTTAAATTTGATCGGACATGTGTATCGGACACGCATATCACTTAGTACTCGGTACTGCTCAGTACTCAGTTTTGCTCGGTACTGCTCGGTACTCGGTTTTGCTCGGTACTGCTCGTTTTCCTCGGTACTGCTCGGTACTGCTCAGTACCGCTCAGTACCGAGCGATACTAGAACTCAGTACTGCTCGGTACTTCTCGGTACTGAGCGATACTAGAACTCAGTACTCCTTAGTACTCAGTATCGCTCGGTACTACTTGGTACTATTCGGTACCGCTCGGTACTGCTCGGTACAGAGGGGTACCAAATGGTACCAAACAGTGCCAAGAAGGTAGAGAAAACTTTAAAGCAGTGTCGAGAAGATTATCAGGTCGAACCCTGCCAGGGGGTAGCGCCCCCTTGGACCCTCGGCATAGGCGCAACATATATATACTTTTTATTAAAAAATTTCATGTTTCAAATTCATGTGGATTAATTGTGTCGATCCTTCGTACTTTTAATTAAAAACTTCATCTGCTGGATAATTTATGTTTTTGTTGTTATACTAGACATTTAAATATTTGATGCTTACTTTTATTTTGATATTATTAGATACAATGCTACAAATGATGTTGCTTTCATTTTTTTGTCATTTCAAATATTATTCTTTGATTAATTTGTTATTTTTTATGTATAATTTATATATTATAATGCCGTATCCGCGTCGTATTCGTATCCTGTATTTTTAAGAATTGCTGTGTCCCGTATCCGTATCGTGTCATATCCGTGTCGCCATATCCGTATCGGTGCAACATAGCTACGTTGCATAATTCGCTCCCATAGTTTTAAAGTATGACACATTAACTTAATTCCTCTATAATTTGCACTCATGTACATCACCTTTTATTCTTAAAAATAGAAATTAACACACTCAATCTTCACTGATCTGACATCTTTTTAGCCTTTAAAATAGTATTAAAAAGTTTAGTAAGCCAAGAAATTCCTTCATCTCCTAAACATTTCCACATCGCTATTGTAATATCATCAGGCCAACAACTTTTCCACTTTATTTTTTTAAAGTCTCTCTAACTTCGATTTTACTAATACGCTGATAAAAACAAAAATCTTTATTTTCATTTATGGTGCTAAAGTCACTAAAGCCAATTGTATTTTCACAATCTTCATTAAATGTTTAGCAAAACATCTCATTTACCTTTGTTGATTATCTTCTTCTAAGAAAAATACTTTTTGATCTTCATCCTTAATACACTTCACTTGAACTAAATCCTTACTACTCGTATCTCTTTATTTGGCTAACTTATACATATATTTTTCTCCCTCCTTAGTATCTAATAAATTATATAAATCATTAAAAGCTAAGCTCTTTGCTTCATAAATAACTTTCTTAACGCTGATAAAAACAAAAATCTTTATTTTCATTTATGGTGCTAAAGTCACTAAAGTCAATTGTATTTTCACAATCTTCATTAAACGTTTAGCAAAACATCTCATTCACCTTTGTTGATTATCTTCTTCTAAGAAAAGTACTTTTTGATCTTCATCCTTAATACACTTCACTTGAACTAAATCCTTACTACTCATATCTCTTTATTTGGCTAACTTATACATATATTTTTCTCCCTTCTTAGTATCTAATAAATTATATAAATCATTAAAAGCTAAGCTCTTTGCTTCATAAATAACTTTCTTAGATTCCTTACGAGCCTCTTTATATCTTTCCCAATTATCCAAATTTTTACATCTAAATCACTTTTTATGCAAATCTTTTTATTTTTTATCTTTTCTTGCACATTTGGATTCCACCACCAACTATTTTTACTTTTAAGAGTTTTTTCCTTTGAAACTCCAAGCACATCTTTTGCAATAATCTTAATATCACTAGTCATTTTTTCAACAAAACATTAACATCCTCATGCACAGCTAAAATTTTAAAATATAAAATCTTACTCTCAAAAATACTTTTGTTAATATCTTTAAATGCCCCCATCTAATCCTAGAAATTCGTTTTACTTTATTTTTTTATTTTCTGCCTCTTTATCTTGAAGTCTAGAACTAATAATTGATGTTGGGTACATAAATTTTCACTAGAAATAATTTGACAATCTTTGCAATCTAAACGATCTAACTTTCTTATAAGAAAATAATCAATCTGTGTTTTATTATATCTATTTTTATATGTGATAAGATGCTCATCTCTTTTCTTAAATAATACATTAGCTATTAAAAAATCATAATTTAAAAAAAAATCTAATATAGTTTTACCACATTCATTTGTAGTTCCAAACCCATGACCACCATGAATGCTTTTAAAATCATTTACCTCTCTACCAACGTATCCATTTAAATCTCCTCCAAGAAAAACTCTTTCTTCAAGAGGTATATTTTGTATTAATTCTTCTAAGTCTTTTTAAAAAATTTTAATTTTGAACCCATATTCAAACTTACTTGAGGAGCGTAAGCACTTATAATATTAACAATCTTTTCATCAACAACAATCTTTAAAACTATAATTTCATATCCAATTCTATTAATTTTTATAACATTATCCTTCAAACTCTTATCTATAATCACACCTATACAATTTCTAGTACGACTCTTACCTGAATACCATAGTTTATATCTTAAACTATTAATCTCCTTAGCATTCTCTCTAACCCATTTAGTTTTCTGAATACACATAATATTTATCTTCCTATGAATCATAATATCTATTAATTTCATTAATTTTCCTGTAAGGGAGCCTATATATCAAGTTCCTATCCTAATTTTAGTTTCATGGACTAGCTTCTTTTCCCACATTCGTCCTTGATGTGGGAACCCTTGCCTATTTAACATTATATACCTGGGCACCGGTGCAACGGCCATTGTACACTTGTTACTGTATTCAGGCCATACAGCGCGTCGCTTCCAGGGGACGCCCTAGCATTAACACAATTTTTTAAAGGATTCATGTCATGATTATTCTACAAGTTTTACACTAGCTGTCGACTTCCTAACGCAACCCTCCACTTTTTTCATCCAGGACTTAGGACCTGGCAACGATAGTGTTAAATAAAATTATTTTGCAATGATAAATAAATGTAGAATTGAAGAAAGTGCATGCAAAAAAAAAAGTGATTGAGTCAACCTTAGCTCTAGGTTTATATCTAGAGACCTCCCTAAGGGTAATTTGAGGCTTTTACATGATTCAAATAAGCCCAAAGCCTTGAATGCATCCTTAGCAAAAGAGAAATTAATACCAACACACTCTTCTTCTGTGCAATTGTACCTAACATTAATGGGCTTAGGCAACCCCTCCCAAAACTAGAAAAAAACTACTTGACAAAAGTTCGAACATTGGTGGTGAATAATTGAAATTACTCTTGCAATTAAAATACAATATCTCCAAATTACAAGATCAAAATAGAACAATGAAACACACATACAGAAAGTCCTAATGATTGCTCGAGATTGATCACAACTTAAAGATCTTAGAGCACAAACTAAGTTTTCCTCACAAATCATAAATATATATATATATATATATATATATATATATACAACGCTCATCACTGGCATGAGGCTTACGCCTCACGCTATATATTAAAACTTACATAAATCTTGAAGTAAATGTCCGACATTGGACTCTATAGGAGAGGAGGAAGGGGAGAGAGTAGTTCATCATAATGATGATTCAAATGAAGAACCCCTTAGTGATGACAGTGCTGATGACTTATGAGTTCTTATGTGATATGTCATTGCTATTTATTTTTGGAAATTTGAATTATATGTTAATGAAAATAATACTGAGATTTGGGAAAGATAGAATTTTTAGTTGAACTATATTTCATGTTGTTTTATTATTGGGATATTTTGATTTCACTTCATATCTTATGCTTTTTTATATTTTATATTATTCACTCATTAGTATATAAAAAATTTATCATTTTATGTTTACGCAATTTTTTGATTTTGAGGCTTACGCCTCAAAACGCCTTGAGGCTTACGCCTCGCCTCACGAATGAAAAACGCATCAATACCCGAATACGCAATTTTAAACATTGGATCTACTCAAACGAAAACCTTTAGTTTCTAATGTTGACCTCCATAATTCAAGTTTACTTTCAACTCCCTCTCTAGTCTTATCAATAAGAAGAATATCATCAGCAAAAAATATACACCAAGGTACATCCTCTTGCAAATGTCTAGTGAGAACATCCATGACTAAAGCAAAAAGATATGGGCTTAAGGCTGATCCTTGATGTAACCCAACCGAAATAGGGAAATACTTGGTCAAACCACCTTGTGTTTGAACACAAGTAATAGCTCCTGCATATATATCTTTAATGATTTGAATATAAACATTATTTACTCATTTCTTTTTAAGAACTCTCCATAGCACTTCTCTTGGAACTTTGTCATATGCTTTTTATAAATCAAGATTACATCAACGCAACCAACAACCAAACTTTGCTTGACTCAAGATTAGATTGAATGACTTTGAGCTAATCTTGTGTTGAAGTGAGATCAGCTCGGGGCCAAATCATTAATAGCTAGTTCATAAAAAGGTTGGAAATGGTGAAGGTGGTGAATGATGTTGAAAATATTGGTGACTTAATGAAGTATAATTTAGGGAATGGAAAGCATCATGAGATCCAAAAAAGTTTTAGAGAGGTACACAAATATTGGTGGTATAGGCAATGGTGACATTGGAATTAGTGTATACTGATAGAAATATGAACTTGGCTTGAAGATTTTGATCGAAATGTATATTTGTGTATGGAATTATTTTTTGTGTATTTATATGTTGAATTAAAACTTATTTGCTTCTATATATGAGTGCATATCTGTTGGACTAATAATGTTTCTCAGTAAGAATAATTTTTTATATAAATTTCTTTTCTTCTTTGCAAATCCATAAGAGTGTTATCTGATGAGGAAGATTAGTGGCAACATTTTGGCATTGTCTTTAAGTATGTTTTGCTTGTATGCAGCCTGTTCATAAGTGGATGGTTCGTCATATATACTTTCCCTGCATAAGGAATGGATTTTCAAAGGTAACTACTGTTTATTATATTGTGGTATCAAGATCATATATTTTTGTAGAAAACACTTGCCTAAACCTATGCAGCACTTGTGATATTTTATGCGCATTTAATTTTTTTACTTGATTAGTAAGTCTCGTACAGTATTCTCAAACTTAGTGTGCTTATCATTATTCTTTCACACATTAGAAGATTGATAATAGAAAAAATGGATGTATGCTAAACGATATAAATGAATTATGCTTCATCTTTTATGAATTTAGTCTTAGTTAGTATGTCCTTTGAAATTGGAGCTTTCTAAAATTGTAAACTTTTTTCTACACAGGGAGTTGCTATTCTGATTTCATTCTTAATATCTGCTGTGTTTCATGAGGTACATTCAAATAATATTTGTTCTGTTTAAGCACTTTTCTCCTGTTGAATCCATTTATTAAATCCTTATGTTGTCATCATTTTTCCTCTTCAAGCTTTCCTTTGTCAAGGGTTGTATTCAATAGACTGCTGGAAGAAAGAAATATTTTGGTCTTGTGTGAGACCTAACGGAGGACAATATCCTGGTGATCTTGTAGCCACTTACAAGAAGCTATTGTAGGTTGTGCTTGAATGGGCCCTAATGCTTTGAGAAATTTTATCTCAAAATATCCTTCTCGAAATTTAGTTCAGATGTAAGACATATCTTATCATACTACAAGACAATCTTGATATGTTGAAAATCATTTCTTTTTATTTTGCCAGAACAATCAAGACAGCTATAACCAATTATTTTTACAATTGCAACCGAAAAGAAACCTCTTGCAAAATATCAAGCATTGTATAGTAGTTCAAAAAATGTCTTATGTCCTAAACTAAATTTTAAGGAAAATATTTTAACCCTAAAATTTTTCCCTCACGATATATTGTAGGTGGTAACCATAAACAAATTTAACTTTCACAGGGGCCGACTACTAGCAATCCTAGAACATTTAGCAATGTTTGGTTTGTTCTATAAAATAATCGGCTAGTTTGCTTTTTTTCCTTATGTTTTCTTAGTAATGTCAGGACTAATTTATTGGTGACCATATGCCCATTGGATTTTCTAAGGATTGTTTTGTTGTTAGGATTTTGGAATGTCTTTATCCATTGATAAAGATTGAATTTGTTTGAGGAATGTTGTCGAAACAATATTGCGAGAGACTTTAGTTTTTATTGAAGGTTAACAGATAGAAGAATTAAAGATAACCTGAATTCTAGTTATTAAAGTCATATTGCCAATAGTACAAAAGAGCGTGTGTTATAGTTAACAGCATAGTGAAGCACACTGCTTATGCTATATGTGTAGCAAAGCATAGGAAGGAAAAATTATAAGTTATGTGTTATCTTCAATGTACGAAGCACACTATCTTTTTGGTTCCATTTTTTGACTGGTATGTTTAGATGTTCTGGCTCAAATTTTTCGACATGGCATGGGCACGAGTTATTTGATTTATGTTAAGTATATTAGGACCTTGAATTGTATATGTAATTATTGCGACTTTATTGACCTTTTTTTCAATGAGATAAAGGTGACGTTGCACAAAGTTGTTTGAACAATGTCCATTCATGAAATGGACTTCACTGATGTTTCAAAATTGTTGAAGTTGACTAGAAAAGACACCCATATTGAATGGTTGTCACGCAAGTCAAAACTCGATACATATCTCACCAGCATACACTCTCTCTTCCTCTCTCTCTCTCTTTATATATATATATATATAGAAAAGAATGGAAGAAGAGAAAAAAAGAAAAAAAAAGAAATATTTGCAAAAAAATTATGTTTTTTTATTTCTTCGCAATTTCCTCATTATTGCGTCGTTGTCAGGTCCTAAGTCCTCGATGAGAAAAGTGGAGGATTGCGTTAGGTAGTCGACAGCTAGTATAAAACATGTTGAATAATCATGTCGTGAATCCTTTAATACATTGTGTTAATGCTTGGGCATTCCCTGGAAGCGACGGGTTGTATGACCTGAATACAGCGATAAATTAGCAAGGGCCGCTGCACTTGCGCCCGGGTGTGGTGTTAAATAGGCAAGGGTTCTCACATCATAGACGAATGTGGGTAAAGAAACTAATCCATGAAATTAAAATTATGATATGAACTTAGAATATAGGTTCCCTCAAAGGCAAATTAATGAAATTAATAAATATTATGATCCATAGGAAGATAAATATTCTTTGCATTTAGGAAACTAAATAGATTGGAGAGAAGACTAAGGAGATTGATAGTTTAGGTTTTAAACTATGATATTTTTGGTAGTAGTCGTAATAGAAATGGTGTATGCGTGATTATAGATAAGAGTTTGAAGGATAATATTATAAAAATTAATAGAACTGGAGATAGAATTATAGTTTAAAGATTGTTGTTGATGCTAATATTATTAATATAATAAGTGTTTATGCCCCTCAAGTATGTTTGAATATGTTTTCAAAATTAAAATTTTGGAATGATCTAAAAGAATTAATATAAATGATACATCTCGAAGAAAGAGTTTTTATTGGAGGAGAATTAAATGGACATGTTGGTAGAGAGGTAGATGATTTTAAAAACATTCATGATTGCTATGGTTGTGGAGTGACTATTGAAGGTGTTGAGACCATATTAAATTTTTTTTAGTTTATGATTTTGTAATTGGTAATATCTTATTTAAGAAAAGAGATGAAAATCTTATAATTTATAAGAATGTATATAATAAAATTCAAATTGATTATTTTTTTATAAAGAAGTAGATAATTTAGATTGCAAAGATTGTAAAGTTATTCTGAGTGAAAGTTTATGTACCCAACATCGATTATTAGTTTTAGACTTAGATGAAAAGACAAAATACTAAAAGTTAAGTAAATCGTTATAAGATTTTATTAACAAAAGTATTGATGTAGACAAAGGGGGGGTCAACACAAGTCCAAAATAAATCAAATTTTGGCTTTCCTTGAGTCTAGTAGTTCATCATATTTGAGCTAAACTTTTAGTTCATTTATAAGCTGGACTTTAGTTCATTTATTGAACTAAGGGTTAGCTCATTGTGAGCTAACATTTTAGTTCATTTATTATCTTTTAATTAATGTCTTTTATGCTTTTTATGTATTGTTTTTATGTTTGTTTCTTGGAATTCCAAACCGGCCTTTGGAATTCCAAGATTTCTTTTTCCATGGTGGCTCCTTGAATTCCACCATGGCTTTTGTTATGCCTCTTGGGATCTCACGGCTGGGCTCCTTCTCCCGTGGCCGTGGCTCTTTGGTCCGTGTGGTTCCTTCGTTTTCCGTGGCCGTGGCTCTCGGTTCGTGCGGTTTCCCTCGTCTCCTGTGGCTGTCTCCTTGGTTCCTGGTTTGGGTGTTAAACCGTGAGCTTGGGGGGGAGTTTTCTATGTGTTTAGTGCTTTGAATTAAGTGTTAATTTAATGTTTGTGTCCTTTTGTATTCCCCTTTCATACCTATAAATATGGGGGGTTATGTAATGTTTTGATAAGTGAATGATATTTGATTTTTGGAAAATCTGTTAACCTGCGGGTTGCTCGGAAATCCTGCGGGCTCTTTCCAACCTTCTTTTCTCATCCCCTCCGGAAATCTTGCGGGCTCTTTCCACCCTTTCTTCTCGGGCTTCTAATCTCTTCGTCTCTCCGCAAGTGCCACTCCATCTGTATCCTTCTTCTCAAAGTGCAGCAACTTTAGGGTGTCGTCATTTTGTTTGCAAGAGTCGTTTGTATTGTTGTAAGTTTTCTTTTGTTTAGTTTAATTTGAAATGTAAGAGTTTGTTCGTCTCTTTTCTCGTCTTTAGCCAATTTCGTCGGTAGAAGTCCACCTCTGTTTTTGTTAAGAAAAAAATATAGGCTCCCTATATTTTTTGCTTACATCAAGTATTTTTGAGAGTAATATTCTAGATCTTAAGATTTTATTTGTGCATAAGGAAGCTAATGTTACATGGGAAAAAGTAGCTAGTGATATTAAGAATGTTGCAAAAGATGTGCTTGAAGCATCAAAGGAAAAAACTACTAATAGTAAAAATAATTGATGGTGAAATCAAAATGTGCAAGAAAAGGTAAAAAATAAGAGTATTTGTTATTAAAAATGGTTTAGTCGTAAAAACTCTGATAATTGAGAAATTTATAAAGAGACTCGTAAAGAGTCTAAAAAAGCAATTTGCAATGCAAAGATTTTAACTTTTAATAATTTATATAATAAATTAGATACCGAGGAGGACTAAATATATATGTATAAGTTAGCTAAACAAAGAAATATGAGTAGTAAAGATTTAGTTCAAGTGAAGTGTATTAAGGATGAAGTTCAAAAAGTGCTTTTATTAGAAAAGGATATTCAACAAAGGTGGATGAGATATTTTGCTAAATTTTTTTAATGAAGATTATGAGTATGTAATTGACTTTTTTGATCTTAGCACCCTAAATGAAATAAAGAATTTTATTTTTATCGACGTATTAGTAAATCTGAAGTTAAAGGGACTTTAAAGAAAATAATGTGTGGAAAAGCTATTGGACCTGATGATATTTCAATAGAGGTGTGGAAATGATTAGGTGATGAAGGAATTTCTTGGCTTACTAAACTTTTTAATATTATTTTGAAGACTAAAAATATACCAGATGAGTGGAGAATGAGTGTGTTGATTCATATTTTTAAGAATAAAGGTGATGCATTAGATTGTACGAATTATAGAAAATTAAGTTAATGTTTCATACTTTAAAACTATGGGACAGAGTTATGGAGCATATGTTGCGGTGTGACACTAATGTTTCTAAAAATCAATTTAGATTCATGCCAGGTAGGTCTACTATGGATGCTATATATTTATTGAGAGATTTGATGGAGAAGTATAGAGAGAATAAGGAGGATCTACATATGATTTTTATTGATTTAGAGAAAGCATATGATAAAGTTCCAAGAGAAGTGCCATGGAGAGTTCTACATAAGAAAGGGGTTAATAATGCTTATATTCAAGTCATCAAGGATATGTATATAGTAGATGTTACTTGTGCTTAAACATAAGGTGGTTTGACAAAGTATTTTTCCTATTTCAGCTGGATTACATCAAGGATCAACCTTAAGCCCATATCTTTTTTGCTTTAGTCATGGATGTTCTCACTAAACATTTAAAAGAGGTTGTACACTGGTGTATGCTTTTTACTGTTGATATTCTTCTTGTTGATAAGACTAGAGAGGGAGTTGAAGGTAAACTTGAATTATGGAGCTCAACCTTAGAGTCTAAAGGTTTTCGCTTGAGTAGATCTAAAACTAAATATATGGAGTGTAATTTTAGTAGCAATAAACCTAGTGAGGGGAATGTGACTTTGGGTGATGATCGTCATTAATAAGAGTACACATCTTAGATATCTTGGTTCTAGTGTTCAGAGT